CCCCGGAAGCTTTAGTCAAGAGAGCGAAGGCCGGAAAAAATCGAAGGAGCCCAGTGAGGCCCCCCAGTATTGAAGGGGTTTTGAGGAAAAAAGCACCGGCAATGGGTTAACAGAGGAAATGAGGAGGGGTCTGAAAGAGTGGCCCAAAGACGGGGGCCCGGGGGTCGGGAAGGGGGGTTCCCAAAAAATAAAAAGGGGGCCCGGGGGGGGTTGTGGGTTTTCATGGATAGGGCCCCAAAGGTTGGGTTACTTCTTTTTTTTTTTTTTTTTAAAAAAAAAAAAGGAAAAGAAAAAAAAAATAAAAAAAAAAGAAAAAAAAAAGGGGGGGCCCCCGGGGAGGGTTTATTTTCCAAAGGGGGAAATGAAAGGGCCAGAAATCTCCCCCCGCCCCAGGGGGGCCCTTCAGCCCCGCAAGTAGGCGATGCAGAGGGAACCCCGGGTGCCAAAACCCTCCCCCTAAAGCTAGTAAACTAACAATCCGGGAAGCAACCCCCACACTGCCGAGTACCTGGGGTGGACAAAAGAGAGGGGGGGGCCGGGAAAACCCCACAAACCCAACCTCCTTGGGGCCACCACCCCCGGAATCCAAAAAAGGTGGCTTCCAGAGATACACCCGTCACCCGAAAGACACCCCCCAAAGCTACCCGGGGATACCGGAGAGGGATCGGGAAAAACCCCCCATCCAGATTTCAAAGGGAAACTACGGGCCCCTGCCCAAAACCCCCAAAGGAAAGGGAATTTGGGTTTCCCGGGATCCTTTTTTTCCCCACCTAGGAACTAGCCCCCTGTGGTGAGAAATCCCCAAAAGGGCCAAAAAAAAAAAGGAAGGGCAAAAGGGAGGGGTGAGGGGGAGGAGGAGGAATGGAAAAAAAAGGGGGGATGGGGGGGATGGGTAGGGGAGGGGGGGGAATGGGGGGTAATTTGGTTCGGTCTGAGGAAGAAGACCGACAGGGGAAAATTTCCTCAGACCAAGAGCCTCTTAACCCCCCCAAGGGCCCCCCCTTGAAGAGGTAAATAAAGAGTACATAAAAGGAAAAAAAATTATGTTTGTTTTTTCAGCACTGAATCAAAAAAAAAATGACTTTTGAAAAATTATTTTAAAGGTAAAATTTTTAGTAAATTTTAATTTTTTTGTTTTTATTAGCTTTCCTTCAAAGCAATGCTTTTAAATCTTCACGTGACTGAAAAAAAACGTGATAATGAAACACCCGTTTAAAAAAAAAAGAACACCTTTCAATTTGACTTACTTTGGGGGCCCCCACAGGGGCTTTGGGTGGGGGTGGGGGGGGCAGTGTCCCATAATACGTCAAATTTTTTGACCATAGGGGCATTCTTGGGGTTTACTGTGAAGGAAAAAACATTTTAGGACTTGCTTTAGCATAAAAAAAAACATTTTGACACATACTGAAAAAGGTACCCCCATGAGGGATAAAATCTGGGTCCTGAAGCTACATAAAATTCAAACAAAAAGGACTAGGATAACGTAATAAAAAGGGCCTGGAAAATGTACAAAATACCAAGAGGAATTTTTTTTGGGCTTTTAAAAAAGAGTAGGGTTTTTCAAAAGTTTGGGGAAACAGTTAAACAAGGGCACAGGTTAAATTAAAAAAAAGGTGATTTTGGGAATTTTTTTTCTGTTACGCATGCCCCCCACACAATTTATCCAGGAAAAAAAGGGGAAAATTCAGTTTTAATTTAATTTACTAGAGGTTAGAAAATATAGCAAAGACAAGGGAAAGGGTTAAGACAGCAACTCCCCCGGACAAAAAAATCACTTGACATTGTTTTTCCCCAAACCCCCCTGATCCCCCAAACCCGAAGAGTAAGCATGAGTTTAAAAGGAAAAAAACTGCAATGGCTCTAGTATATTTTGGGAAACTGGGAGTTCAAGATTATTTAATCATGGGGGAGCGCTAAACCCCTAGGATTTACAACGCATGTGGGGGGGGGTGGAAGGGATTCAGGCTCCCAAATTTAGGTGACAGTCAAGGAAAAATGGGTTTCAAAAATTTTAAAAATCAGTTTAGAAACTGCTACTACTATTCCTAATTTCAGGTAAATGATTTGCTAAAGGGTGTCAAATCTTTGTGTATGTTGGCAACACTTACATTGCAAAGGCAGTCAAAACAGCAGCTAAAATTTAAAATCTGAGAAGTTTTCAAATCATTTAACATAGGGGAAATTAAAAACTGTAGACTGAGTACATGGGGAGGACAATTAAAAAAGAAGACAGTCTCCCGGAATTGAATATCAAATATATCACCAGAGGAGCACTTAAACTGTACAATTTGACAGACTGAATATGCTAGACTAGTAACTCTCAGAGTAGCCTTTAAGAACAGAGTATCTTTAGAAGTTTGTACATGCCATGCCCCCCCCCCCTTAGAATACACAGTACAAAGTGTGGAATTTCCACATGACCAATCTCATTCAACAGCTTGAAAATATTATCAAACTGACCACTAATCTGAATGGATCAATAATGTGAGAAACTCCTGAAATAAACCCAACAACTTGGGAGGAAAAAGAAAAAATATATATATTAAAGGAAAAATGATGTATAGTATATCAATTGCATTATATACCAACAAGTATGTTAACAAGACAATGTTCAGTTTATGGCATTTTATGAAGTTTCATCCACCAGGAAAAAACAACAAAATGTCAAACTGCATATTGTGCCTTTAACAAAATGGTGTAATATATTTTAGGTAACTGACAGGATAGATACACACATACACTTTTTAAATGCAACAATAATCCACAGGGATATTGGTAGTACTTTTAGAATTGCAGGGTAGTACAGAAATAGAATGAGTGATGTGGAAGTGGTAATGGTAAACCCTCCATGTTTTGGGGTAGCAATAATAGGATTCAGGAGCCCAGAAACCAGTGATATTAGTCACTGTGTAAGAGGAGGGCCAGAAAATAGGAACCCCAAACAAATCAAATATTCAAGCACAAGCACAGGCTCGTGCACTCACACAAGCACGTACACCAAGGAGCTAGAGCTCATGCCCTGCAAACTTAGATAATCACAAAATAGAGAATTACACACACCTGGATACAAATAGGTAAATATGCAATCATCAATTACAAAATCTTTCATAAAACAAACAACTATCATTAACAGCTCTGGACACAAATTACAAAATCTATCATAAAACACAAACTATTATAGAAAATTATGACCAACATTTAGTCATTTACTTTGATAATATTTATTTGTTAGGCATTTGATTTCTTAAATTATTATAGTCTCAAAAATAATTCACCACTATTCGTTCCTGACAAACATTTACCAGAAATTGTCAGATTAACAAACCATTCTAAATTATTTTCATTACGTAGTCTTTAAATGGTTATGTAATCCATACATATCTGTCCATGAATGGTTTAACTTCTGCAGTAACCACTTCTCATATTAATACTATATGCACACGTGATATCATAATAACCATGAGGTCTAAAATGCACAACTATAAATGAACTTTATATGATTTTTCATTTTGATAACTGATAGAAAAAAAAGTAAAACTGACAGCTGTCACTAAAAGAATTTTAAATGACACTTTGTTCCCCAAATATTTCCCTAAAAGTGGTCTTCTGAAAGTTCCACCCAAGGAGCTTTCATCACAACACACCTTCAGGGTCACCAACAAAATGTATGAAAAATGAGAGAAGAAACTTCTCAAATCTTATCTTGAAACCCCTTTGGTTTCTTCCTCTGAACTTTCAGTGACCCAAAAAAATATTCCACTGGACATAATGAGAATTACACAGAGGTCATCCATGCTGAATGCAGAACAATAATCCTGCGAAGTCGCATTTTCTGCTCCATTCTTAAGTCACCGAGGCATGGTAGTCAAGTCCAATCTAGACACTTTACATAAAATAACTAGAAGATTTACAATATTTAAAATTGAAGCATGATTATCCATGTCCCGGTGCAGTCCATAGAGACTAATAAAAATGTAAAAAGAATCTAACAAACACTTGCTTTAAGGTTCAATGTATATGAGGGTGTATTTTGTAAACAAGCCTTAAAGCATTTCAAGTTTCCAGTTTTCAACCCACAATTGGCTCCTTCACGAAAGCCCTGCGAGATGCAAAACGCCTCAAATTTTTGCTGCTCTTTGCCAAATCTTTATTCTGTATCCACATGGCAATCAGATGAGGATAATTGTCATGGGAAACATTGACAAACACTTGACATATGCACACATTACAAAAATGTATATGGTGTATGTGGTTCATAGATCAATAAAATGTCTAGCTTTACAAAGGGAAGGAATAAGTTCAAAAAGATAAAAGAAATTATATCCTTCCATCCTATATTAGCTTCCAGTTTTGTGTTATAAAGTGGAATTAATAAATCCTATTTACCTGATGTCAATCAGTTTTTATTACATTACACTGACGAGAAAAGAGTTGAGAAGTAGCCATAAACACACTTGCCAGACACAGTATCAACAAGTACACTCAGTTGCACACTCACCTTAACAATATAAGCAAATGTTATACAAGAAGTTACATGGGTTATGTTCAGCTTAAACACTTGAGTGCTATACAAACAAAATTAACTCAATCAAGAAAATACAAAATGAAAATAACAATCCTCTTTGAAAGGACTTACAGGATACAACATTGCAGAATTTTCCTGTATTACAAGTCTGAACTAATATGCAGTTGCAATGGCAACAAAATCATATCAATTCCTTGGCATAATTACAAACTCATGACAAATAACTGCTAAGGTGAAGCAGTCAATACAGAATATTTAAGTTCAACACTGTGGATTTCGAGCTATCACGCCGAAATTTACCCCAGTCAGTGTGTGCTTCTCTCTATTGTCTAATGCTACCATTCATCCTTCATCTGATTCACTTTCTCTACATACAAAGAAGCTCCCTTCTTTAAAAACATAAAATGAGAAATAAGCACTACTAAAATAAACCCTTGCCTATGTAGTTTTTTTTTTTTTTTTGTAATTTTACACCTTATTCATTTTTTTTTTTTTTGGTTGGGTCAGGTTTTGTTACTCCACTCAGGATCAACTCAGTAGCCATGTATTGAACTTTCTATGTTATGGTTTTGATATGGCTAAATGTAAATGACATGAAATTAATTCAACACGAACTTCTGGTCGTGCAGAGAAAAACTACGGAGCTAGATAGACCCTTTCATGTTCAAAGTTTATTTTCAGCTTGCTTTCTATGTCATTATATTAAAAATCAGAAACAACCAATACATCCACAGGCTTTTTTTGTAATCTCCAAGATTAGCACACGGAAGATTACACAAGCAAATCTTCCCTTCACCTATGAGGAATCATTCTACTACATTCATCAGACATCATTTAGAATTACACAAATTCAAATAAATCATTCTTGAACAAGTCAGAAGAATACTATCATGCCCACAGCTAAGGCCATTGCCTGCAGCACTAGTGGCCAACAAGCAACAACAGCAGCGATGATCAGGGCAACACAGACGAGCCAGCATTTCTCTGTTGCTCACTGTTAATGACGCTCATTGCACCATCGCTGCTTCGGGCCATTAAATCAAGCAAATGTCCTCCATTTCTTTGTTCTCTTGCAGCAAAAAGAAAGGGGATCACCTTAGGCTTGTTTCTTTCAATAAATTTATCCAGTATATTCACTATCATTACTTTAGTGGCTTCCTGAAAGGAGATAAAGGAAATAAGAGTAGGACTTAGCATTTACCTTACAAGACTACTTGGCAGAAAGGCTTAAGGCACAGCTAATAAAAAAAGCTATTCAAATTACATTAACTACATAAAAAAACATACTAAATCATTGTTTGCACAGTACGAAGTATAAGAAAATTTCAAAAGGAATAAGGTAAAATATTTTGCCACACATTAGTACAATGTGGGTAAAAGGACAAATGCAACTAATGCGACATTTTATTGTGCTAACATTTCGCTCTCCAGGAGCTTTGTCCGAAACGTTGCCAGAATAAAATATTGCAATAGCTGCACTTGTGTCTTCTTACCTAATACATGCATAAAATTTGTATAATTGCTCACAATTAACACTTTCACTCAAGTAGATCTAAGTTATTGACACCAGTGTTTCTTACAGATTTATGCATAAATTCACACCAGCCTCAAATTTTCCAGGCCTGGCCATGAGATTATGGGTCTGCAGTCAGTCTGAGCAGATAAAAATAAATCGAGACCATCGCAAAGTATTGTGGAAATGTCATCTTAGTATACTACTGCTCACCATACCACACGGATGCAAGGCTCTCACTCCCAGGTGAATTCACTGTATTCCTCAGTGGCAGCTCCAGCAATGAGGATTATAGAACCGAGGATGAATTCTATAGGCTTGAACCTATAGTGACCAAAAAGTGACAACCAGGATGCTGGAAACTGTGCTGAAAACCCTGATGACCCACAGCCATCAGCCTCTAGTCTTGCCAAGTACAGGACATGTCCATGCCGTAAGCGAAAGCTTATATTCTCCTATGGTTTGGGCACAGATGCGAGTAGTAATGATAGTGATGTGAACATTGATTTCCTAGCAAATCAATGATCAATCTAGTGATAGTGATGATGATTATTTACATGCGAAGAGTCAATTTATGTGGCAACACATGTCATCTAGTCATGTTCTTTTTACTATCCCAAGATGCACAGTACAACACAAGACCCAACACCAGTCACAGTAAAGATGGTGCTTCAACTAGAATGGGCAGTGGGCTGCAAGCAATGCTGGCAATACATGTGGCAGTGGCTGGTGGAACAGAGGCAAGCAGTACTATACCAGCCCCAGCTGGGAGCCATGTCCCACACCTCAACCCCAGGACATGTCCACCACCCACATACAGCCACTACCACAACCATCTGTAAATAGCCAGCAACACCAGACTGCTTGTGGGATTGGAAGGCAAATGTGCTGTTTGTGCCCAATCCCCATCATTTTAATGAGAGAGTGGAATCCAGCCCAGTTTTACCCTCGGGAATAGTACTAAACCATTTTGATAAACCCCTGATGCAAATGATAAGTGATGGAAAACCAACATACTTCGGGTATACAATGGCAAACAAGCGTAAAGACAATGTGGCTTAGTTGCATGTCTTCTTCGCCACAGTCAAGAAAGTTATTGAAAATTTCTAATAATGCAGTGAGAAAAATTAAGTAACCATATTTTAACACACTCGCTGTCTCCCACCAAGAAAAGGTGACCTTGGAGAGAAAAAAAAAACTTTCACCATCATTCACGCTATCACTCTTTGCAGAGGTCATACATTATACACTTGATAATTGGTACACAAGCCCTTTACTGACTGGCTTCCTGTAGGTGAGCATGACAGACATGAGCAGTACAGTGTGTGAATTATTATTATAATCAAAAAGAAGCGCTAAGCCACAAGGGCTATATAGCGCTGCAGGGTAGGGAAGGAAGCGAGGGTATTGGATGGCAGAAGGGAGGAGGGATGATCAGTAGGTTACAGAAAACATCGGGGCAGGGGATAGTAAGGGGGTAGAGAGTAGCAAGAGATTGAAGTAGAAAGGGCTAAAGGTATCAGAATTTGTGAAGTCAGTCAGTTGTCAAAAAGTCAATGAGAGTGTCCGGATGAAAGGTGGGTCCATCAGTGAGAAGGGAAGGTAAAGAGAGCAGCGGAGCGAAGACGACGACGGAGGTAAATTCTGAGTGCTCGTTGATAAAGTGGGCAGTCCAACAGAATGTGGCCGACTGATAATGGAGCTTGGCAATTCTCACAGAGAGGAGCAGGGCGCCTCTCCATGAGATATCCATGAGTAAGACGAGTATGGCCAATGCGAAGACAGGAGAGAGTAGTCTCCCAACCTCGACACTGGTGATAAGAAGACGGCCAGTAACCTATACTTGGTTTAATAGATTGAAGTTTGTTGCCGAGCATAGTAGACCAACGTTGTTGCCAACGGGTGTGAAGGTGGGAAGATATTGCAGCAAAATAGTCCATAAATGGAATACCTCTATATGAAACTGGTAGGTCATGTACTGCTGACCGCGCAGCAGTGTCTGCCTGTTCATTGCCCTGTACGTCAACATGACCAGGGACCCAACAAAAAAAATATCTTTATTCTTGGTAAAGATGCGGCGTAGCCAAAGTTGGATACGGAGGACTAAGGGGTGAGGTGTATCAAATTTCTGTATAGCCTGTAAAGCACTAAGGGAGTCTGAGATAACCACAAATGATGACACAGGCATAGACGCAAATACGGGTAAGTGCTGCAAGGATGGCATACAATTCAGCAGTGAAAATACTAGCCGAAGATAGTAAATGCCCTTGTACGACGCTGTCCGGAAACACTGCTGCGAATCCTATGCCGTCAGAAGACTTAGAGCCATCTGTGTACACAGCAATGGCATGAGAAAGAGTGAAAGTGGTCAAGAAAAAGAGAGCGGGAAGCGACCGGAGACAGTTGGGCTTTTGAGCAAGGGAGAGAGAAAGAACAGACTTGAACAGCTGGAACTTCCCAGGGGGGTAGGGAAAAGTGAGATGCTACATGAACATAGAAAGGTGGTAATTGAAGAGAAGACAAGAGCGAATGAAGGCGAAGAGAGAAGGGACGGAGTAAACAGGGGCGGCGAACAAATAAAGAATGTCTACTAATATCAGTGACCATTCTATAAATGGAAGGATTGCAGAGATCATGAGAGCGTACATAGTAGCGAAGGCAATGGGCATCACGGCGATCGGATAAGGATGGAACGTTCACTTCGGCATAGAGGCTCTCGACAGGAGGAAGAGCGAAAAGCACCAAGGCATAAACGTAATCCTTGGTGATGAATGGGGTTAAGGCTAGAGAGAGTAGCAGGAGATGCCGCTGAATAGATCTGGTCACCATAATCAAGTTTCGATAAAATAAGGGTGGAATGTAGGCGAAGGAGGGTTCGACGATCAGCTCCCCATGAAAGATGAGCAAGGGTTTTAAGAAGGTTCAGCCGGCTGTGACAGGTTGCCGTCAGAGAGGTAATGTGAGGTTTCCAGGATAACCTACGGTCAAAGAGGAGGCCCAGAAACTTGACTATCACGTTCAGGGATACGGGAGCCATAGAGGTACAAAGGATGATCGGAGACGACAGAGCGTCTAGTGAAAGTAATTTGGTGGGTTTTAGTGCTGGAAAATTTAAACCCATGTGTGGTGGCCCAATTGGAAACACTGTCGACTGCATGCTGGAGAGAAACTGTAATGAGGTGACAGTCAGCGCCTGCACAGGCAATAGCGAAGTCATCAACATAGAGCGATGACCAAATATTTGATGGAAGACTAGAGGCCAAATCATTAATAGCAAGGAGAAAAAGTGTTGTGCTCAGAACACATCCCTGGGGGACACCTTCAGCTTGGATAAAGTCCGGGGAGAGCACATTATTAACCCGAACAGGGAAATGCCTGTCAGTTAAAAAGTTCTTAAGGAAGGATGATAGATTGCCTCGAAGCCTAAGGAGTGGGCTTGGGCTAAAATATTATACCTCCAAGTTGTGTCATATGCCTTCTCAAGGTCAAAAAATATGGCAATAACCGAGTGGTTATTCGCAAAGGCATTACGAACATACGTATCCAAGCATAGTAAGGGGTCTATGGTACAACGTCCCTTACGAAAGCCATATTGACGAGTGGAGAGACTGTTGTGTGTCTCTAAATACCACACTAAACGTCTATTTACTAGGCGTTCCATCACTTTGCAAACTGCACTGGTAAGTGAAACGGAACGATAGTGGGAGGCTTCATGTCCCGTAGTGCCTGGTTTGCGGAAAGGGAGAACAATGGCGGATTTGCACAGCTGTGGAACAACTCCTTGTGACCAAATAAGATTGTAAAGGCGTAATAGGACTGCAAGGGCTGACTGATGTAAATGTTGTAGCATACGAATATGAATGTCGTCGGGCCCAGCTGCCGATGATCGGCAAGCTGAGAGTGTTGCCTCCAGTTCTTGAAGTGTAAAAGGCACATTATACTGTTCTTCTCTGAGAGAAGAAAAGTCCAAGGGTGCTAACTCTCTGGCAGACTTTGAGGAAAGAAATGAGGGGCATAGATGGAGTCCCTGAGAAATAAGGACCAGATGACTGCCAATTTCATTGGCAACATCTAGTGGGTTTGCTATATCAACACCGGCAACCCGTAGAACAGGAGAATATTTACCACTCAGTTTTCGTACTTTTTTCCAGACTGCACTCAGAGGAAGCAGAGGTGATGGTGGAGACAATCTTTCCAGTAAGTGCGTTTAGCGTCACGGATGACACGGCGAGCGATCGCACGCTTCTGCTTAAAATCAAGAACTCTGTGGTTCTATTGTACCGGTACCTGCCCCATGCAGCGCGTTTCAAACGTACTGCACGAGCACAAGCAGGAGACCACCAAGGCACGCATTTCTGAGAATGCCTGCCCGAAGTTTGGGGTATACAATTAGAAGCTGCGGTTAAAACAGAGGACGAGAAGAGGTGTAAAAGCTCATCGATGGAGGACGAAGAAGGAACCTCTCTAAAAACAGTTAGGTGTGAGTAAAGGTTCCAATTTGCCTGATCAAATTGCCAGCGTGGGATGCGAAGAGGTGGTGAATATGGAGGGGAAGTAAGAATGATTGGGAAATGATCACTGTCATGTAAGTCCGGGAGAACAGACCAAGTGAAGTCTAATGTGGCGGAGGAAGAGCAGACAGAGA